TGCTCGCGTCACGGACATGGAGCTCACCCACCAGATTGTGAGTGGGTGAGCCGCCATTGGAATTCGATGTTATCTACTGACAGATACGAGATCGACCGCCGCGTGACGCGCTTTTTTCCCCCATTGCGAGCGCGTTTCTTTCTTTTCCACGCGATTGCGATTGCACGATCCCTTAGTTAGCCTTAGCGGGAGAGGAGGGATCGGGGAGCAGGGCGGGTGTAGAATTCATGCAATTTGCATTACGATCGTTATCCGGCGACGTTGAATCTACTAAAGGCGGCCGCCCTTATGGCGATATCTCTGTCTTCGAGACGGCGTAGATTACGAATGCAATAACGATAATGGCGTCGACGACAAATGGCAACGAAATCAGGACAAACGAAAGGCACGCGATTCGAGAGAGAAGGGCCGACTCGATTAAATTAACTGTCACGGTTAATTGGCGAACAATAAGTGAAATCTGTAAATTCCAAAATTCTGTTTGTCTGCGAATTAATTACGGCAGTACGGTAGACGTCATATAAGAGTTTTAGGGTTTTGCGAGATGTATAATTTATAGTATAATCCACTGCACGTAAAACAGGTATAACGTAAAAGTGGTATAACGTACGAAATATCATCGTCATCATTCCTCGTCAACGTCACCGTGGCGATACGGATGATCGTTCAGTCGTCAATTATCTCGAGAAACGTCCATCTCTCCATAAGCGGCTTGAGATAAAAAGCTGCGGATTGCGTCGCGGTTTCGCGCGAGGAATGCAGAAAATATCTCGCGTTAACATAATTACTCGGATAAGTAACTAGACACGTTATAAATATCTATTTAGCGGATGCTGATTTTTCTGAGTGACAGAGAGACCAACTTCACACACTGCATTTTTCGTAATTTTAAAAGAATTATTTTTTTCCAAAAGAATGGTAACAAACAATTAAAGATTTCTGCAGAAATGTAGATAGATCACCTTTTTGGGTTTGTAAATTGTTCTCTTTGAAGCGAAATAATTTTGCGAGATGTTAAATGAGTATAGAAAAATATATTTTTGCGTATATATATATATATACCAGGACGCAACACAAATTAATCTTTCTGAAAAAAGCACGGTGCTGAACAAAAAATTGTTTTGCGAGTTCGGACAAGTGCTTTTGAGATGACAAAGCCGAGCCCGAAGAGCAACCATGCGCATCAAAACGCCTTTGTCGCAATTTCTGCGACCGGTCATAACGGTCCTAACCGACGGATATCTCTTTCTTTCTTCCTTTTTATTTCCTCTCCCCTGTCTCGCCTCGAATAACTTCCACGAATCCCTGCCCGGATGATTACGAGATTACGTTTGGGGCGCAAAAAATCATGACCTCACGAATTTCAAAATTCAGTTATGGAATTGATGCCCCAGAAGAAGTTTACGACCTCATCATCGTCTATAACAAACTAGGAACGCACGATGCGACAGAAAAAAGATTTGCAAGATTTTGGAACCTCCGTCCCGTGAAAGCGTGAATCTAAAACCCACGGACTTAACCCTTTGGTTGTTAGGCCAATTAGGAAAAAATTAGAAAGAAATGCTTGTAGGCCAAAAATACTTTTGACAAAAGAATTAATAAAATTTTAAAAAAGGTGTTTTTTTAGGAGTTTTTAAGTCGCTGTAGGTATATCTAAAACTGCGAGGTCAAAATTTCAAAATTTAAAATGGTGGAAAAATTTATAAAAGTTTTTATAAATTAATTTTTCTGCAAAACGAGAGATATTTTATTTTTTTTGACTATGTTAAATCCGTTGTTAATTTAAAAATTTTCAATTTTAAAAACGGAATTAGCGTCTCGAGAAACCCTTCAAATTATTTTATGCAATTAAGGCTTCTGGGCGCTCCTGG